TTTTGTTGACATCACAAAATGTCAACAAACTGACACTTGATATTGTTGAAATAGTTTTATGAGTTTACAATCCATTATGTTTTTAGAGTTTGATGTCTACTAACTATTAAATGAGCTGGACATTTCTCACTTAAACGTTCTGTATAATTATTTGGTCGTGTGCTTTTTCTGGTAAATAATTATTATGTACTGAAGCCATATGTTTCTAACACAAACTTCATCATTTCTATTCTAAAAGGCATCTCAGAATATAGGGACAATATAACTATGTATATGACAACTTCAAAATTTTATTTTAGAAGTATACATAAACTATATTATTCTATGTGGTATTGCATCTATAAAGATGAAGACAATTTCTTCTCTGGAGGAAATGGAAGAATTTGTCCAGAACTCTGATGAAGGTGGTACTTTTGTGTTTTCTCTGGAGTCAGTTTTGCAAAACCTTACAGAAGAAAAGGTTGATCTTATCACTTCAGCCCTGGCTCAGATTCCACAAAAAGTCAGTACAACTTCTAATCCTTATAAGAAGCTATTCACACAGTGGAAAAAGTATGGCTTTTCATTTGGAACTTGAATCTCATTTTTCAGTTTGCATAACAAGCACTAGATTTACGTAAGGATTTGGAAAGCATTATGGTAGTGTATGTGGACACAACTGATTATTTGCCTATGATCTTTGCTATTACTTTAGTAACACATCTCCTAGTTGTCATTTGTTAATAATAAAATAAAAATAATGCATTAAGTACCTATTTCACGTTGCAGGATTTGAAATCTTAAGACCTACTCTGATGACTCCAAAGGAAACTTCTTAAGTATACTAGCTCAAAGGAACACAAAAACTGGGGAATGATATCAGAAAGTGAAGAATCATGCCAATAGTATCCTCAACATATATTATTGTATAGGAACTCTATTCAGTGTGTTTGAACATAAAAGTAGAAGCTTAGATTTATGTCGTCTTTCTAATGAACTAGAGCTTTCTATAGTTAGAAGGCAATTATGATTTTAATATAGTCTAACAACCTGCATGTAATACTTTATGATATTCAATTAATTTTGTTATTAATGTAATTCCAGTTTTCCTCTCTTTAGTTAATGCTATTTATACACTAGCCAAGAGGTTTTTCTTTAATTTTATGTTTTGTTTAATTTAAAAACACTCAATAAAAGCAAGTATGCTAATTAGGAATGTGAAATTAGTTTTAGTCATGAGATTCTCTTTTTGGGAGTTCAGACTATCTCTGTAATCCTTTGTTTTCAAGTGCAAGATTTTCATGTAGGTTTCCAGGAAGAAAAAAGTATGGAACTAAGGTACAAATACAAACAAAATTTAACTTTGAACAGAGAAATATAGGTAACTCCTGTCTCTTTGTTTTTGAATTAGAAATAAATGATATAAAGGAGAGAAGGAGGCATAAAGAGAAAAGACAACCAACTATCCAAAACCAGACAAAAACCAAAGAAATATTTGTCTCTGGGAAACTGTAAATTTGATAACAGACCTAGAATGGCCAAGTGATTTACATTTACACAGAAGTTGAGTGTCCATAAGAATACTTAACTTCCATATGCGACAAATTATGCAACACTGCTTTTTTTGTTATTTTTATAATCTCACTCCTAGATGCTTTGAGTTTGCAGTAAACAAAATAACAAATGGTATACTTAATAGTTGAATGGTATACACCCTTTTAAAAGGTGACTGTCAATAGTCTTACTATTTCTTTCAGTGATGACAAAGGACCCTTATATACCCCTGTCTCAAATATCATCTGAAATAGAGTGGATT